GGAAACATGGGATACCAGTGCAGGACACAAGTAGTTTTACATAACTCATTGTAGTGATGCTTTTAATATTAGGCCTATTAGCAAAGACTCGGGATTTTCCCAAGTGTGAAGCATTGCCACTAGAAAGGGAACAATAGGACACAGGTGCCTGATGGATGTTGAATCCACTTATGCTGGAGATGAAGTGATAAGAACAACATAAGAACATAAGAGAAGTCCAACACTCTGTGTCACACAGTGGCCAAAGCCCAGGGACCATCAGGCTGCCCACTAGCAGGGTCAGAACTCCAGAAGCCCTCCTACTGTTGCCCCCGAAGCACCAAGAATACAGAGCATCACTGCTCCAGACAGTGTTCCATCTATATATTGTGGCTAATAGCCGCTGATGGACCTCTGCTCCATACATTTATCCAATCCCCTCTTGAAGCTGTCTATGCTTGTAGCCGCCACCAGTTCCTGTGGCAGTGGATTCCACATGATGATTATTTTGGGGTGAAGAAATACTCCCTTTTACCTGCTCATTAATTTGAGTACCCATTAATTTGCTCATTAATTTGAGTACCCACAAGTTCTTGTATTGTGAGAAAGAGAGAAAAGTACTACTTTCTCTACCTTCTCTATCCCATGCATAATTTTGTAAACATCTGTCATGTCACCCTTCAATTGTTGTTTCTCCAAGCTAAAAAGCCCTAACTTCTTTAACCTTTCTTCATAGGGAAGGTGTTCCATCCCCTTAATTAATGTGCTTTTTTGTACCTTTTCCAATGCTAAAATGTCTTTTTTGAGGTACGGTGACTAGAACTGTACACAGTATTCCAAATGAGACAGCACCATAGATTTATACAGGGGCATTATGATACTGACTGATTTATTTTCAGTCCCCTGCCTAATAATCCCCAGGACGGCATTTGCCTTTTTTATTGCAATCACTCACTGAGTTGACATCTTCAGTGAGTTATCTACCAGGGCTCCAAGATCTCTCTCTTGGTCAGTTACTGCCAGTTTGGACCCCATCAACAATAGTTAGTATTTTTGGCTCCAGTGTGCATTACTTCGCACTTGCCCATGTTGAACCTCATTTGCCACGTTGACGCCCACTCGCCCAGCCTTGACAGATCCCTCTGGAATGCCTCACAATCCTCCCTGGTTCTCACCACTCTGAACAATTTAGCGTCATCCCCAAACTCAGCCACTTCACTGATTACTCCCAACTCTAAATTATTAATAAATAAGTTAAAAAGCACTGGACCTAGTACCAAGCCCTCCAGCACCCCACTGCTAATCACCTTCCAGTGTGAAAATTGCCCGTTTATACTCACTCTCTGTTTGCTGTTTCCTATTAATTAGCCAGTTTTTAATCCACAAGAGGACTTGTCCTCTTATCCCATGACTACTGAGTTTACTTAGGAGCCTTTGATGAGGAACTTTATCAAAAGCTTTCTGGAAGTCTAGGTAAACAACATCTACTGGGTCACCCTTGTCCACATGTTTGTTCACCCCCTTGTCCACATGTTTGTTCACCCTTGTCCACATGTTTGTTCACCCCCTGTTTAGTGAGACAAGATCTTCCCTTAAGCAGAGGTGTCGAACTCATTCGTTACAAGGGCCGGATCTGACATAAATGTTATGTTGTTTGGCTGGGTTGTGTATGCCGTAAAATGTAATGCCAGGTACTGGAGATGTTTTACCACTGACCGTGACCCATACCCCTCCTCAGTAGAGATCCAAGCCAAGCCAGCTCTCTTTGTGCCTTATGGTTGCCAATTCTGGGGAGGGCCTGTTTTTGAGGAAATGAGAAACCTCAGCAGGGGATATAATAGCCCAATATAGGCCCTTCTGGTGCACATTTGGACTGGTTTTCCCCCAGTTGCTCATGGGCCAGATAAGAGCTCTGGATGGGCCACTTCTGGCCCCCATGCTATTATGTTTGACATGTCTGCCTTAGAGAATCAATGCTAATTCTTCCTCAATAGCTTTTGTTCATCAGTGTGCCTACTAATTCTGTCTTCAGTAACGGATTTCCACAAACTTACCAGTATTGACATTAGACTGACCAGCCTGGAATTTTGTGGATCTCCTCTAGAATGTTTTTTTTAAGTTGGAGGTTACATTAGCTACTCTAGTCATTGGGAATGGAGGCAGATTTTTGTATTTCTCAAGTAGCAGTTCCACATGGACTTGTTAGGTGAAGTGTCCATAATGCACTTATAAGGAGCTTTTTGAGGCATTCGTCTTTTTGGCTCTTGATACCTACAAAGCCCTAGTGGGTACCATTCCAAACAGTAGCATCCAAACAACTGATGTGATATAATCTCTGGTAACAATAAGAGTTGCCAATTAATCTGTGGAATAGCTAGAATCCAGTGGTTTTGATTAGATTTATGGTTCTGATCATGGTGATTCTCCCCCCCCCCCCCCCAGATATGTGGACTTCTAGAACCTGGTGGGGGCTTGCCATGGGTTCAAAATCTATATTGGCATTGTAAGAGGTGACGTTCATCTTACAGGTTGTTGTGTGGCAGTGTGCCCTGGTAGGATCATTACTCCATGTTGGTACACATTATATGTTGTGACTTACACTTCAAACCACTCTGTGAATCCTCTAGGTTCTTGTACATTCAGCCACTGTTCTGGAGCCTAGAATGGATTCCTAACTACATTTTGGCCCAGAGAGTGGGGTGAGTTTTGGGCAAGAAAGCTAAATGCTGGTCAGCCTTTCTCAACCAAGAGATAAATGGGTTCAATTCAGATATTCAGTGAGTAGGTCACATGGGAAATTTCAGCATTAACAGCACACCTCAGAGGGATCAAGTGTGTAAAGGAGATTCAAACATTCTTGAATCCATGCGGATCCTCAGTCACACAGCTGTGAATGCTGGCAACATCCACATAGCTGATGGATTTAACGTGAACTGGACTTGAGTCACGGAAGAACTCACAGCTCTCCTGACATGATTTTTACCTCTTCAGGAAAGTCTCCTTCAGAACTGATGTTCTGTAGAAATTAGCTTTCATTTTGGATTAACACATTCACTTTAATTTGGATTAACTACTATCATGCATTTTGGGGGCAATTTTCTATGGATTCCCCATTAGTGAGTACTGCAGAGTTACCAATAAAATGTAGGGCAAACAATGCTACGTAATAATTAACATTGCTTAATACCTCACTAGGAAATATTACAGTGTACAAGGGGAACATTTAACACAGTGCCTATTTATTATTTTTAGCCTTTCACCGCTATAGGGGGTCATGATACAGTTCATTGCTGACAAGAGGGTCCATGTTGGGAAAATTATTGTTCTTACTCTGAATGAGTTAATAATTTCATTACCATCATCATTACAGTCATTTTAGGAGTCTGGTAGATCTTTAAAAAAAAAAAAAAAAAACTTGTGCAAAGGGTACATGCTGTGCACTATATCTACAGCGACTAGTCTCTCCTTCTGCTTCCTTTGAGTATTGAGGCTGATAAAAATAATATAGATGTTGTTCAAACCCACCACATCTACCAACTCCCATTCTTCTTTTTTGAATTGCAAAACATTTCTTCCTACTTATAAGTCTAAAACATAATGGCTGTTTTTGACTTGACAAGATTGTGATAGTATACAATGCTATTTGGTTTTTGAACAGCCATTTCGATTCACCATTTCCTTTAAATGACATTTGGGACATAGTGGGGATGCAAATTGAGGTAAAGTTCAAGTGCAGACTCTATAAACAGCCCCACCAAGAGGAGCAACTGTGTCCAGGGAAACAGAGAACAGAATGTATCCTCTTTAATGAATGACAAAATCATCACCCAGTTTGCAAAAGTGATTCCCTCCCCAACATGTCAAAGGCGGTAGTGGGCAGAGGGATTAAGGAACGATATAAAACAGAAGGATTAGGAAGGACTGATCAGTTCAGAATGAACTATTAGCAATTTTCTATAATTGAATCAAAACAGATCCCAGAACTAGATAATGAGAGCATGACCTACGAATGAAGACTTTTGGAAGGCAAAAGGGCTTCTAGCATGAGCCATGTGATGTCAGAGTCTTCACTGATTTTGTAAATAATGATCTTGTCTCTGGTTTCGAGCATGCTGACCTCCCTCTGCCTTGTGTGTCAAGTGTAATACTTTAAATCACACAATTTAGCACTAATTGTGCAAAATACTTCATGATTATAAAGAGGATGTATTGTATTGTAATATTGTAAGACAATAACATGCAACCCTCCCTCCAGTAAGATAGAGTTAAATTTTTATTCTACGTTTGGAAATTAGATTTTATGATGCTAATATAGAGTACATGATTGGGATGTAAACTGAAGAGTCTTGTGTAGCTGAATGTTGGCATACTTTACAATGTATTTTTGAATAAAATTTTGCTGCCATGCAACAGTTTCATAAATTAAAATAAGAGTTGATGCTTTTAGAACATAACAAAAAGTGGGACCCGCGATACTCGCGGGGGGGGAGTATTTCCCATGGCTCCCAAGCTGCCAAGGCTTCTGCCCGCTAATTTGCAAAGGACTGCAGCCTTAGGAAGTTTCTGCTCAGGGCAGAGAGCTCCCAATCTAGGGATTTGGAATGAAAATGGCGGTTTACAACGAAGCCCTGTAGAAAAAGTTAAGGTGTGAGTTTAATTCTTTCCTGTTGACTTCCATGGGACTTTGAAGTGTTTCACCGTGCCCGGATGGTGCCCGGAGAAATGGCTGAAAGGGCACGACTAATGTGTGTGGCAGGTGCAAGTGGAATCGGGCCCCTGTGGTGGCCCCAAACCCCAGTTCTGTGGATGACGGGATCGCGTTGGTGCGGGTTGAAGGCTCCCTTTCCTCATTGGATCGGCTCCCTTCTTCCTTCCTTCTGAGCTGTCAAGCCTTCTCCCCACCGCCCCTGCTGCCGCCCACAACAGCAGTACTGGCAAGCCCTGCGCAGCTCCAAGCTGCCAGGCCCACCAGGCTCTTCCCTGCTGCCGCTGCCCACAACAGTAACACTGACGAGCCCTGCATGGCTCCAAGCCGCCAGGTCCTCCAGGCTTTCCCCCACCACTGTCGCCGACAACAGCAGCAGCAATGGCTGTGGCTTCTAGCCGCCGGCCCGCCAAGGCTCCCCCCTGCCGCCGCCACCAGCACCAACGGCTCTACCATGGATCCCACAGGTAAGTGCATTCCCTGTGCACTTTTTGGGGGGATTTAAGTATCCCCCGTATATTTTTTTAATTTTTCAGATTTTTCTGCACATCTGGGGATTGCCCCAGATGTACAGGAAAAAATCTCTGCCCCCCAGGTCCCCCCGATGTGCGGATTTAGATATCCGCACAGAGGGGGCGACTTGGCTATTAGATATATAGATGATTGCTTATGAAAGGATGATAGCCCTATTTTCTCTGTGTTGTCTGTCACTGATGTAGACCAATGGGAAAGTTGTCTTAGTTTTCATGTGTTATGATCCTGTTGTTCAGTACCTTAACACATGCTGTAGGCTTAGTTTTTCCTCACCTTCTGATTATCTGTTTTCTCGTACACAAAGGCATGAGTGAGATGTGATGGCAAACCAAGGGCTATCCTGAAGTTTGTGTTGCACCTTGTTCACCTTACATACAGCCAACTAATGAAATGGCCTCTTTTCATGGCAAACCATATTGTTGGTATCTTTGAACCACAAATCATGATTTTCATTCTTCTCTACAAGTATGGATTTTCAGTACCACACATACCAGAAAGCTGCCCACTCTCATGCACATGAGGGGAAAAACTGTGGTTTGTTGTAATGTCTGAACGATGCCAAACTGAACTGGAATCTGGCAGGAAAGCTACTTGTTTTCATCTTCAAATCTCATATCTATGAAGCAGAAAGATGTCAGGGTGGAACCCTGTTTGGTTCCAAATCTAGATCTGGGATGGCTGTTTTCCAACCCAGGGCCTTTGCTGTTCATTGATAGAACTAGAGCTGGCGATAGAGCAAATGGAATGCACTGCTGTGGTTGATCAGATAACCACAAAATGCCATATTATTTATATCAGATTTGGAGAATTCAAAGTATGTATATGCATGCCAACCATGGGAGCTAGTGTTATGTATCAGTGTTTCTTTTTATGACTGATGGTGGCTGTTAGTCTCAACTACAGAGCCCTCAATAGTTGATTAGCCTGAATCCTGCCCTCAGTCCATGAGGTTCCTGGTTCAGACTCTGGGGGACCTGAAAGTGGACTGTGTGCTGACATAATGCTCAGCAATACTTTAAGGCAGGGGTGTCAAACATATTGCTCATGGGCCGGACCTGCCCCACGAGCAACTTCCTTCTCCAAGTTTCTTTTCCAGGGCTTCTAGTGCAGCCACACCATAGCTTGCTTTTCCCCCAGCTGTCTCAGTGGCTCTTTGCTTCCTGCCTCTTGCCCCCCTCCTCCCCCACAGCTCCCTCAGTGGCTGCTTCCTGCTTCATGTGGGAGAGATACAAAGACAAGCTTCTCTCCCTCTCTCTCTCTCTCTCTCTCTCTCACACACACACACACACACACACTCACACACACACATGCACAGAGCTTTTGCTTCCTACTCCGGGGCTGCTCCTTCTCTTTTGGGGAGGAAAGAGAGAGAGAGAGAACAAAGTTGGAGTCCCATGGCAGCTTTAAGACCAACAACGTTTTATTCCAGGTATAAGCTTTTGTGTGCAGGCACACTTCTTCAGGGGGACAGAGAGAGGTTGGATGGATTCTTCTGACAAGCATTATTTACACTGAGGAAATTATTTTGGCTTGTTCCGAAGGTTTTTTTAAAAGATTGGATTTCTCTGTTCCTATGTGGATTTTATTTTCTTTCAAAAAGACCCTGATTAGGAATTAGGTCCTTGTATCTTGGAGAGTGGAGTGATTTCAGATGCCAAATGATAATAGCACACATTGGTAATGAGACAGGAAAACTAGGTCTCAATTCAGTTTTGGAGGATGCATTGTCTTGAGCTTCATTATCAATTGCAATTCAGCAGTTTCTCTTTCTAATCTCTCTTTGAAATTCCTTTGTAAAAGCACTGCTACTCTTAGGTCAGCAACTGAATATTGTGGTTTCTAATTTCAGTCTTATGTCCATTTATTCTTTGCTTCCTCCTGGACTGAATCCTCCTGGACAGAAGTGAGACCTAGGTTTCCTGTCTCATTACCATTGTTGGTATCTCAACTTCTACCACCACTCTGCATATCACACCTAATCCAATCAAGCCTGCTATTGTAATTCACCTGCTATTGCCATTCAGTACCTGAAATCACCCTTATAAAGTTTATATCTCTGGTACCTCATGTTATATTTTATGGCATGCATGACCCAGCCCAACAAAATGAAATTTATGTCAGATCCAGCCATCATAACAAATGAGTTTGACACCTCTGCTTTAAGGGATTGGGAGCAGACTGTGGATTGTGGTTCTTCTCCTTCTGCTCTTTTCCAGGGCTCAGCATTATATTTGCACCAAAATTCACCTGGTTTAATTCAAACTCAAATGTGCTCCGAGCCTACTGAGTAAACCATATCAAACATGTAGCCTCCGGATCTCAAGGCTGCCTGGAGTTTGCTGTGAGTGGTGGTGGTGGAAATGGCTATCACAGCAGCCCTTCCTCAGTAACCCAATGTGGTTCACGACATAAAACTTCAGAAGTCTAAACAGCAGCTCAGATTGCATCAAATACAAATATACTACCTTTCAGACTAAAAAAAGATCTTAGGACAAAAAATATCATAACACTCTCCCTTAATAAAAAGAAATAAAATTGTCTTGTCTGGTCTTCTAAATGCATGTAGTGGGGAGATTATGTGCACCCCAGCTGGCAACTCACCGCAGGGTGGGGTGCTGTGGTCCTGAAAACACACAGTCACCAAACATGCCACTCTGAGATACAATTAGTAGATTCTGAAGAACAAAGTGTATCATGCCCTAAGATGCGAATTCCAGTTTTTGTATTTAGCAGTTATACAATGGATTTTAATCTGCTGACAAGGAACAAAGAACATTTTCTCTAGGGAGAGCTAGAAGGTAGGGTTTGGTTTTCTTCCTGCAATCTGTCTGATCACCAAATACAAATAAGGTTTATCCAGTGATTATTCCGCTTGCTTGCCCTACAGGGCCCTCTAGTATCATTCATGCCATGTTGTTCTTTGCTTGTGACTCACTAAAGAACTTTATGCCATTTTTAGTTTTCAGGTTCTATGAAACTATCTTATCTGCTTTTAGGAGTCCTCTGCAATGCTCCCTCTAAGCTGTGAAGTCTTGTGAGCAAAAATAATATTTTGTGAGCTACTGGCATTAAAGTTGTGAGCGAGCGATTTGGCTACTGCATAAATTAGTTTGCTCTGGAGCCATCCTTCCTGAGCTAAGACTACAATGTGTGAGCCGGAAGCTAAAAATCTGTGAGCTAGCTCACGCTAACTCAGCTTAGAGGGAACACTGGTCCTCTGTGTAAGCTTATTTGACGAGTCTTTAGAAGGGGTGATGCACAGATAAGATTTTCTATATAACTATGCCAACAATTTATGTTTCTATCCTTTTAAGCAGGGTAGCATGCATATTTTACAAACATGACTAAACCTTATGTCCTCAATAAACCTGCTTTTGCTGCCTCAAGGGACTGCAAAAACTGAGATTGTCAAGGATCTGGCAGGCCACAATGTGTGGTTGGTAGGCTGGGTTCAGATTTATGAATCACAAAGTCATGCAGGGCCTGATCTGTTGTGTCATCCATTCTTTATTTTTCATTAGCAGGGAAATTGCGGGCTCTTCTGTGTTATGGCTTAGACACACTACTAGACTCTCAAAATTTCCCACATTGCCCCCTTCTTTCATGAAAAATAGTTTGAGGGAGGTCTTTTCTTCAGCCCCTGTACATTGATTATATGACCTTTGACCCTTTTGTGGGTCATAAGCTGGGGCAGTGCCTTGAAAGGACTCATCTAAGAGTGAGCAATGCCTTTTCCACATGGAGTGTTCTGTTTTAGTGCATTAGCCTAGACGTACTGGTAGTTTCCTAATCCTCTCTTGTTTGACTCTGCTTGTTAACCCCAAGCAATCCTCTCAGGGGCTGAGAAAGCAGCTGTCTTTGGTAAGGAAAACATAGCACAACAAAACAAATATCTTTTGAAGCTTCCTTTTCAGTGTTGTATTATCATTTTTTTCAGAAGTATTACTAATACCGAGTAATTTGTGGTAGGAGCATACAAATGATTAAAAGCTAGATTCCTGTGACATTTCTAGGATAGGAATCTAAAGGCAGGAAGACAGCAAGACAGCTGAAAACCTTTTCCTTGAACCCTTGGGAACACTGCCATCTTTAAAAGTACACTGAGTGAACAGGAGAGAGAGTTCATATAAGCATTGTAAATGGTCAATCAGGTGCACCTTACTTACTAAATATAGCAGTGGGCATTACAGTGCATCACAAAACTAGGCACCAACCAATTAAAAGCCATAATAAATCACTTTTGTTAGATCTGCTGCTCTGATGTCACCTGTTATGCTTGAATGCTGCCAGCACATATGATATGTGAAATCACCTTTTCGGTCTGACCCCTGACGTAAATGCAGGAAGCATAATTAAGGATTGTGGAGCAGCTTGAACTGAGATTTCCCTCTTCTGCTGAGCTCCCCCCCCCCCCCCCCCCAATATGGCAACTGGGTTGTATTATGTAGGCTACTCAGAATATTTAGGATGGAGCAAGATATAAATAAAATTAACAAATGAATATACTTTTAACTTAAAAATTAACTTCATTTTAGTTACTGGACCAGTGGATAATACAGAAGCTTACATCAGATTTTGAGGAATGTTACCATTGTTCCCAGATACAAAAACAACACCTTTGTGTGGCACAATGTCTTTTACATTTATTGCCTGTGAGTTTGATGATTTACCCGTAATGAGAATCTGTCTCATAATTTGACATCCACTTCAGCTGAGGATGGGGGAAGAGAAGTGACCCCACAGCCTTATGCCTGCCAGATGTGTGCCTGTAGTAAAGGATTTTTTTCTGGCTATTTCCTGTTTTGCCAATCCTTTGCCAAACCCCCAAATTTATTTTTATATTTCCCTGAGTTTAAAAATTGCTTTGTGGTTTGCAGTTGGTTAACTGAAGAAGAGGAAATAGCCAGAAGACCTTTTGGTTTGTGGGCACTCC